TGCAGGACGGAACCCAGCTTGGTTTTCACGGATCTGCCTCTCCCTGTGTTCATTCAACCTTCGAAGGATAAGGCCAGAGAGCACCTTCGATGCCACAGCTAACAGGCTGGTGCCACGGGACACTTTAGTAATAGGTTGGCGCGTGAAACCATCCCTGTGTATGTAATTTTTTATAGACTCCAAGACATCCAGGACATCAGAGAATCATCATAGGAGTTCAAAAGCCAAAGCACTACAAGAACTTGTCATGAAATCACTACAACGTTCAGTCTTTCAGTCATGAAGAACTGTGTACCGAAGTGCAGTAGCTCTAGCCCCTACAGCATCATTCGCCGAGAATTAGGAGAATGTAAAAATGAGAGCCAAGCGCTAAAGGCAATGGCCCAACCAGTTTATTGACGTCGAAAGATTACGTTTGTCCGCAATGACAGGGAGTGACAGATACGCCGTGAAGGCGATAGCCTTGATAAAACACCGCATGTAGTTGCGTGACGCAGGCAAATTTGTCACGGTCACTAACCATTGGTTCGTTTCGTCCGGCGGCCCCCATCCTCAGAGACGACACTCACCAGCACGAATGAGTTGATTGGTAAGCACTTTCGAGCTTCGTTACCAAGTCATAGACTCCCCACTGCCAAGCCGTCTCTATCCGACGTGACGCTACGCGAGGACGGCTCTTCGAAACAAATGGTCCTCTGGCATACGAAGTACATGGTTTACCAGCGTAACCCGCAGTGTGACAAGCTGATCTACCGAAAACCACCAAATGTACCAGGACACTGTTTATCTGCGCGATTCTCCGGAGGCATCGATGGTCAGAGAGCAATCAGAGATCTGCACACAGTGACCACGTCTCTGATCCAAAAAGTGGGACGGATCGAACCCAGGTAATGTACACTCTACCCTTGACAGTCATGCTGTTATCCCGGAGGTTGCCAAACGATCCTCTGGCCCTTACGATTAGGGGAGTTATCCTATCTCGTGCCAGTTCGATGGGACTTATGCAGAAGCCCAATCGATTCATCTGCAGGCACGAGGTTTGTGTTTTGTCCAATCAATCCCTGCTGGAGCACTTTACACTCTGTAGATGTACAGTGTGTCCCGAACTTTGCAGCAGAATTAGCTGGGTTAGTCAAAACCATTCTAAAGGGCTTCTTTGAGCGCCGATTACCAGTGACAGTCACACGAAACTGGAGCTTTGGTCAGTGCTCCTGAATGACTAGTGACTCCGCCAGAAGGAACTGCTTTAACTGGGTCCCACAGCCGGTTTCATTTAAACAGGATATTGTATTATGTTGGTCGTTGGCTTGTTCACTGAGCTGGGCAAGAAAAATACCAGAATGGTCTCCATACACCCTGAACTAAATAATCTGGTTATGTATGACGTAGCTGAGTCAGAATTTAAACTGGATACGATTCTGAAACCATGTAGTGAATATCTTCCACATGCACTTAAGCTGCAATGAGGGATGTCCCACATTGCGGTTTTGACCGGCTATCTACTCATCGAAATCTTTCACGGTTGATGTCCCCCAGGTGTAGGGGACCATTGCCCTGTACTAAAAAGTGCCACGGAGCATGCAATAGAAGCAACTAACTAAGAAATCAATATTAGGGGCGGTCAAACAGTCCCTGAATAAATGCAACAGTGGAAAGAACATTTCCGACCATGGGCGTGTGATCATAAGGGGAACCAAACAAACGACTTGTACGGTATCTCACCTGAATCACACGAACGGTGGTGATAGAAACAGGATAGGATCACACCTGAAGCACCACATGCACAGACGTACAAACGGGAGTAACAGGCTAACGAGCGAAAGAAAATCCACATGGGCGTTGCTTGGCGGAATTTACAGGCAGGCTGACGAAATAAGAACATTGAGCCGCCGGTACCAACTAGGTGCACCACATAAGGCGTAGATTGCACATTATTTGTGGCCACCCCGGCTGCCGAACAGATCACTTGTATCGATAGGTCATATAGTCCATTTGTTATTTACACAGGTGAAGAAGAACCTACATGCACCTACTTGCCAACTTAGTCAAGTAGTGGGACGATTTTTGATTTTTTTTAGCACAGAAAAGCCGAACAGGTGCAACAAAATTGACACAGTCAATAACACGAGGGGAAAAATAGATGGTACCGAACTAGACTCTTGAATGTGTATCAGTCAGACCTCGAGGCTGCGGTTCATCACATGGCGGCTACTAACATAAACAGAGATCTAAGGCGAAATTCAGTTGGGAATTCACAAATCATAACACACCTTCAAACTCTTGGGCAAATTCTTCTTTTCCAACAAGTGCTTGGCTTGTAGTTTGGACTTGGCACGCTCCATGTACTGGTGGTGATTGTTCAACTCGGCTTGGTGTTGCTTTTCTAACTGGGCCAAACGAAGATCATGCACTTTTTTCAAATGACCCAGCTCCAACTCTTCCAACTTGGCATGCTGGTCAAGCAATAAAGCAGTTATCTGATCACCGGCCTTCTGCTCCAGTCGGACATATTGGTGTAGATGTTCGCCCTGGGTGGAAAAAAGATTAGTTGATGGCCTCAGTCAACATAGTATTGGTACTTATCACTTACTCTGCAGCCTAATATCGGCTGCCCCTGCTTCAAAATGACCCCGGTCTACCTTACTGTCATCCAAAATGTCTAGCCTGTATTTAGCGAGAGGGGTGCTCCGGCGCCTTATTTAAAACGGACATTAATCTCCCAGGAGACATGAAAATACAATCAGTGAACGATTAAAAATAATAGAGGACTAGGTTGAACAAAACAAAAGCGTGCTTCCGGTTGTCACCACAGTTAACCATATAGCGAATAGAACCCCGAAACTAGTAAACCTGCACGAACTCAAAAAATAATGTGACCAGATTAACCATCATGTGACGTAATCAGTCAAATGTATCAGCCGCAAAAGGTGCGGCTTTTACGAAGCGCAAAATGTCGCAGTAGTACTGGGGATTATTACTGGATACCACTGCCTTAACTAAAGCCTTTTCGTAGCAGCAGGTCAAGCTAACCATCAGTGTGTTCTCCGAGCGACCTACGAATCTTCAACATCGAAATTCTCAAAAAAAAACATCCATAGGATCATCATCGTTTGCTGAAAAAACCGCGTACCCGTTGTGTGGTTATAGCTAGCAGCTTCGTTCAACGATGATTTGACCAGGTAAGGATAGAGAGCTACGCGTAGGAGGCGATAGAAGATATGATTCATATAATTAAGGTATCAGTAGAGTTTTCAGTGGGGAGACCGCGAGGGGGGATTATGCATTAAAGATAACAGCTTGGATGCACGCATACCGTTGAGCACACGAATAGGTCCAGTCTGATAATGTCCTTAACCACTGATGTATCCCGTCTTAGGGTACCTAACCAGAGAGACGGTAATGATCAGTGCAGCTAAGTCTGCTGGTATTGGCTTTCATACTTCGCTGCCAAGTTATTCCATGACCTTCTGACTTCCACTCCGTTTGGTTGTGCGAAAAAGACCATTCAAGGAATTCGGTGAAGTCTTAACAACTCTCAAGCCACCGCAACAGAGTGTGACCAGCCCATCTATTGCGGGCGAGTTCTTACAAAAACCTTTCAATGTGTTTAAGCGCTAGAGACCCAGTGTTCCCATCTTTCGTGGGCAATGACCTGAGGATGCCAATAATCGAAAACCGAACGTTTCTTAACGTCCTAAACGCACAGCTGCCCATATGAGAATATGGACCACACCGAATCCTTCGGCCCTGATAAAGTTTACTCATGGAGCAACACAAGAAACAAAACTAAGTTTTCAATTCAGAAAAAGCTTCCATTCACAAATTAACGAGAGCCAGCTATAGCAGACTAAACCTTTGAGAGTCTTGTCCACATAGCAGGAAGACTTTATTACCACTACAAACTGACATTTTCGAGCGCCTGTAGGATAACTGTTGTCGCCATCTAGACTGCTAGGAAAAATACTTCCATGTCTGCAGATCTGAATGCGAGTGCTGTCCAGAGACTTCAATCAATCTTGAAGTAAAACCTAGATTGGCTGGTACGTCCGAACACTATTTGTGTAACCTGATGACAGGACGAGAAAATACTGAGCCAGTCACTGTCGGATAAGTTGGGGCTATGCACTTGGGTAGGGAAGCAGTAAAGAATCCTTAAAACCTTGCGAATCACTGAAACTGGTCAGCTGTTACCTTATAAAGGAACCCATCCTCGGTCCGAAACCCAATGGACATGGAAAACCATGGGATGCAAGATGCATATTTTGTCTGACATCAGTGAATTGGTTGGGTTAAACAGTGAAGACGAACAGGTGATTTTTTTCTGAATGCATGATCTCCGTTAATTGTCTTGTGTTACCCTCAACTGTTTATTCGCTGAATCGAGCACAAACGGATCAGGTGCACGAAATGCCATGCAAACATGGACTGAGATGTAGAGATGACAAACTACTTTTTAACTTACTTCTAACAGAAAACGCGGCTAAATATCAGCTTGGACATCTTCAATAACATCCTGCCGAAACATCAGGCGGCCTTTGTGCAGGAAAACTACTATAAACGAGTTGAGTCTCAAGTCGACACTGAGTTACTGTGTAACTTAGTGTTTGTCGCCCCATACAATTGGGTGTTCAAGTGCGGGATAAGACTGATGGAAATTCGGGGGCTCCGGATATGGAGAAACTGGAGGCGAGCTGTCGAGGAGTTTTTGTAAACCTTATAAGTCGAGTCATTAAACTACCTAGGGACGTTCTAAAAACTCACCTCTAACTTTTGCATCAGAACGAGTGTTTCACGCTTCGCCCTTCGGAGCTCCAAGTTGGTCAAATCCTGACGAAGTCGTCGAATCGCGTCAACAGAATCCACTTTTTTAAGCGTACCACTAGTGGGAGAATCGTGTGTACTGACAGGGCGAGTTCGAGCTTTTTTCGCTGACTTCAACTGCGCCTTTGTTTCACTTTCAAGCCGATTGGCAAGATCGGCTTCGGCTGTCGTTGCACGTTTGCGTTCTCGCTCTAGCTCTGCAGCATGCGCTTCCTCTAGGCGTTGAAACTCCTTTTTCATAACTGCTTTTGCTGTTTCATACTCACGATTCAGGCGATATTTTAGTTGTTCCTCCTCCGACTATTATCATACATAGTGTGGAAATACAAATATATAGTATTGTGATTACCGAGTAGGAAATATGCCACTTAAAAGTACGGTGAACAAAGGTAGTGGTGCGGTGCCAGTTATCGTCATACTACTAATGGCTTTGTCATCATTCTCTAATGAGCAATCAATGTAGCTACCTGTTTGGAAAAAAAAACCAGGATACTCAGTACACCATTCAGGAAGGTTAACTTCCTGTATTTTTGGTATCCAGGGTGGTAATCGCGAAAGACTGTTCATGAAATCTGTGGTGCGAACCGAAAAAATAACTAGCAAGCGAATTTGCAGAAGTCATCGTCATCAGATACAGCAAGATTAATATTGACACATGGCCTATTTATCTATATTTAGAGCCTTAAAGAGTGCTAGCCTGTAGCGAGCATTCCGAGGTGTTAACAATCTCCACCAAATGTTCGATCAGATAGACTGAAAAGAAACTAAAAGCACGAACGTCATTGGAATCGTTTGGTCATCATTTCTCGCAATATCTCCAGTTAGATGAAGGGGGAGGGCAGACTGCACCAACTTGTAAATTCTTTGTAATCTGTTTCACACCTTTCTTCCAAGTCACACAATGGCCACCTCACAGTTTGAACCATTCTAAATGAGGCATGGATAGCAACACTCGTCTCCGTAGACGATTTTTCGTCATGCGTAGCACATTGCTCAGTCCTCTGCTCCAGCCTGCGCCACAATCAGAGACCCGTTTTCTAATTACGGATTCATCGATGCCATCCGACGACAACACTTTTGACAGATCGACGGTCAGAAATCAAATGTCCACAGAGACCATATCTTGAAATCTCACTGAGGCCTGCTAAACAAGAACCTTGAGACCCAGTGATTTCCAAATTCACAGGTGATACAAACTGGGAAGCGTGATCTCGACCTTCTGCATTCGGACAATAACTTCACCAGACATATTACCGTCAGAAATTACGAAGTATAAGGACCGCTGACTGCCTTGACTTAAAGGGCTAAAAACGGGTGGCTAAACAGCAGCAACAGAGATTTATTAAGGTATTGGGCCACTTGCTATAGACGACTCAGCAACTGTGGAATCAATTTCAACTAAAGCATTTAGTCTGCGGTCAGATCTACTCAGAAGCTATGAAATGAGTTAAGGCTTCTCTGGATTAGCCGAAAGCGAGACTTTCGGGATCTTAAAGGAGACTAGTGTATCCGTGACTTATACGGAAGCTAGAACGAGGAGTTCCGACACTTTATTGATACCCATGAGAAAGTGATGGTACGAAACAAAATGTACATTACATCGTTTACTGAAAAAATGACACGCGCCGACAAGTACCAGAACCACAAGCACTGACCACGTGAGCCACTTTGTAACAAATGAACTACTTACTGTCCTGACATGAAACAGAGGGCCTCGAGCATTTGACGGAAAAGGATATACCAAAACATGCGAAAACACAACCACCAACGATCATTGACAAGCATATGTAAAAACACTCCGAATATAATCACGAAACTGCCTCAAAATTAACTTCTCTCTCTACGCTCCAAGCTACTATTGCTTAAATGGAGTGGGGAGGGCGTCAAACAGAGGTCATTTCAGTATCACATCTCACTTTGTTTTTATCCACCAACTGTTTCATCTGCTTGTTGTGTTGCGTACGCAGACGCTTCAACTCGTTCATCTGATCGCGCCAAAATCCAGAAGCTCGACCTTCAATCACATGGGGTAGACCCAACATCACCGCACCGGTACTGATAGCATCAGAGGGATTAGCCGAGCGGTTCCAGTTGAACATCGACCCACGCATCATTTGACTTGTCTTTAGGGTAGAAAAATGTCCTGTAGCAAGGGGTGGAAAAGCAGCATCTTCGCCAGTTAACTTAGCTCCACCTAAGCTTGGATGCATCACCTCCGTAGGTCCATCAGAACTTGCATGAACAGGTCCTGTAGTGAAACATTGAAGGGGAATCAGTTTTGTGAGCACCTCAGTGAACTAATGATAATAACGATGTACGCAAATGTGTGCAAATGCGACTAGACTCAGGGGAAAGAGGACAATGCGACTCGCCTTTCCACTGGTGATTATCGACGGCAATTGAGTGGTAGACATGTGAATCACCAGAAAGGGGTGAGCCTTCAGGCGCGCCGACATTCGCGTATAAATGGTTATCCAACTGCGACGCAGCGATTTGATTGAAGGAGGGACTTTGGGCATCAGATCTGCTGCGTGACGCATCTGTCACGCTGAACTGTGCCCGATTGGGGCGGTTCGGAAGTGAAGGACCGAGATATTCCGTCGATGCAGTGCGAAACGATTCACGATCATCGCTACGGGCCTGCAAACAAAGAGCCGAATAAATTCACTGTGAAAGGAACTGAAAAACGAAGCGGTTAACACACCCATTATAGTTAGTATCCGGGTCAATGGGAGCGTAGACCAGGTCAGAACAGAACGTTATGATTATTCACGCTGAAAAGAATGAACTCGACGATGTAACACCATGATTAATTTGTTTCGGTGGTTTAGTCTAGCAAAAAGCATCAAACTAATTAATGGATAAACGTGAATTTCCCGGGATGTTTCGACCACCCCATGTGACACCCAGCAAATAGCATACTCAACTTAATCAGGATCCGACAATTCCGAAGTATGCCACAACACATCACATTGATGAAATTCACATCACACGCAGGCATTAAAGTATCGTTGAATTGTCGGTTTCTTATTTGGTCCCTGATCCCCCCATGTGTGAACATGTGTGTGGGGTATAACTATCTCAGTCAACTCTGAGTTCTGTAAATAAACCTCCTCTTCTCGTCCAGATTAACAGGGTCTATCTCAAAACATTCAGGCCAACCTGAAATCAGCTGAATGAAAAGAAGTTCACGTTAGGCCAAGAGGAGAAAAATGTTCACATAAATACTCACATATGAGTTGTGTGTAACGGGGGGTACTAAGGGAAAAGGGACCACCAGGAATTTCTAGACGAGGAGAACAAAATAAGTTGTTTAAGCAGGGTGAGACAGGTTTTGAAAGTTTTAACGAGGTAGACATGAAGTATCCCATTAGAGTGTGAAATAGACATATTTGGTTGTGCTACAACCACCGACCCACTACGCACCCTAACCAGCCACTGATGATGTCATCTCGACTGGTGATGGAACGTTTGCAATCAAATTGCCCAGCTCAGCGAAAAAGTCAACGATACTCTATGCTACCTGAGCTACCAACAGTCCCCTCTATAGCAAGCCCATCTTTGCATTCATTCCAGTGTGATATTCAAAAGCAGCCGAACTTGATGCTGTAACAGTAGCCCAGGTGCAGTGGATCAAGCACCCGCGGTTGGTGATTCAACAATAACGAGGATGTGTGGGGATATTATACATAAAGGTGCTAGTTGGCACCAGTTCTCAAGAGATTCTGTTGGTTGAAAGCATTGCGACCCTGGGACACACGTCCCTATGTGGAGAAGCCACTTGTCAGAATACAACTTTTAGTTGGTCCCCCGACGTTTTCTCTTGGGTATGACCTTTTCAGAAAAGGTCACCACTGTATGCTTTCGTCCTTTGAGTCTCTCTAGGGATAGCTTGGATACAGTAGCGTCAACAATAAAATGGATGAGTCGCGTCTGACTATTCGTCTCCTGTCCAGAAGTCGACTGAAACGGCTTCGTGAGCCAAAGCTGCTTTGCCACGCAGCCACATCACACATCAACCACTGCACGGTTACTGTGCGCTGGCGCCTTTATCTAACATGCCCTGTAACAACCCCTCTAATAGATCCTGAAGACTGTGCGATTAAGCAAGATCAGTTATTCGACTTTTATTTCCCCCTAAACTGACCTATTCAATAATAGGACCAGCTTGTTGTTGAGGGAGCAATAGGGAGAATCAAATACAGGTTTCTGTGATCTAACTAAAGAACTAGACGATCAGGTAAACAGAAGCCACTTACTGGCTGATTATCGTTCAGTGCGTCTGGACCAGGAACTGAAAGCTTTGCAGCAGGCTCCAGATGTCGATGTCCAGATTGGTTCAGAAGACTATCGGAAAGGTCACTGCCCATACTCTCAACACTATTTGAACAACTATCACCCTGGAATGTAAAAACATCATTATAGACAAAGGATAACACCTTGATTCGCTACATAGAACACGATACCCCGAGGACAGTAGTAACACAGATGGGCAGTCTGACTAAATACTGGTAGCAATATTGTGTAGTCTCCATCCACGCAAGGGTCGCGCAGATTCAGTCTTAAAGGGCATCCGAAGGCCAGCCGCTCTTAATAGCCTGTCGATTGGACGGGTGTGTTGCGTGAAGGCTACAGACTAAACGAAGGCATGCTCAATTCAGTGGCGGGAGCAGAGAGGTGACCCTTGACCTGGCAGAGGAGTACGAAAAAAATCACGAAACGTTTGGGTGCTGTCGTGCTGCTCGTCTTCCAGGATGGGGACCGCGTGATCCTCACTGCGCCTGGTTGGAAAGACTACAAGATATGACAGCTCACCGATGTCAGTGGCGTCCTTGTAGTCAGTTTCTATCCAGATTGCCTGAATGAGTGTTTGGAGCTGTAGGTACATCAGAATGATTGCAGTAAGATAGCACTAAGTCTATTCACCGTCCACCTTTATTCTTTTCTTCACAATAAGGCTTTCAAATAAATCATGGTTGTACGGCAGAGAACCATCGATGTTGGACATTGATGTCATGCTTCGATAATGATAATGATGATGACTGATTTGTCTGAATGTCGGAGAATCAGGATCGAGCATTATAGCTCGGTGCTTCTCGCTTTCTCACGAAGATCTTAGGTAACCTTGTGGAACATTGTGATGAACCTATAAATACACTCGTAATAAGCTTCTTTCGTCTCCATAAATGACTGTCTTAAGCTACCATGCAGGAAACCAAGAATCGATATGGAATTCGCACCACCAGTTGCAGTAGGCAACACGGCGAATGCAAGAGGGTCTACAATCTATTGCATTTCCTTTGTTCAATCTACAGGCTATTTACCGCTGGCCCGAGGTATTCTGAAATGGATGGATACGGAGAACCGTACGTCGCAAACGCGAGCGCCATTTAACACGGACAACAAATCATGATACTCGATGCGTACTAATGTTGCTCACCTGAAAATAACTATGACTTTCGGTAATCGAGCAGGTGGCTCTAAACCACACCAATGCGAACTGGGGAGTGCGACACACGAGTTGACCACAGCTTTTGTTTCGACAACACCCAAAATCATAACCAGAACTAGATTCGAGTGAATAAGATATTCGGAAATTATTGATACGCCTTTCCGGTGCCACACGTAGGACTATTTGCAAACATCAGCATCGACCTGAGCTTCAGCGATGTAGTCTGCCAATAGAATAATCACCACACGCAAAGTAGGTCAGATTATACAGGGACCTTCTTAATGCGCAACATTTGCCACAGCCTAAGGAATAAAGGTCAAAGGATAAGAAGGTGACGAGCAGTAAGCCTGGAACCACTTATATTTCCTCCTTTTCCCTCTGTTTCCCTTCCTCAAACATCAGCATGCCGTCTGTGTTGCAGATCGACAGTCACCACTGACGAAAGGCTGGAATTCCAGGTTCTGAACATCTCTAGTGCTCGCCTTGTTTGTCAGCAAAGGTGTTGAATGAGTGATTGTCCATCCTTTCGGGGCATCCTATTTTAAATGGATATTTTCGAAGAACTCCCCTTAAGTAGTGCACCCACTATTTTAAGAAACTATTTTAAGAAACAAGGGACGGATAGCTTGAAATCAAAGAAAATACAGAAGGAAAGCAGAACAGACCTTCCAGTCGTTGTCTTCCGAGGGGTTAGCTGCTACGAAAAAAAAGGAAAAAAGCACTAAACACCACCAAGTTACCCAAGTCCATAGAGGAATCGAAGAAAGGTTCTAAGAAAATAATCGTTCACGGTAGCACCCTTACGGTGCCTAACTGCCATGCTACCCGGAGAAAGCCCGAAGGCTGAAATACTGCTAGGGTTCTCAAACCCAGACAGAAGTCGAGATGAAGAGGTTGGGTTCGAACGAAGGATCTTCCGGCCAGTAATTTCGCGACTTATAAATGAGCCACCTTGAGCTTAAGAGAAGCTTTAACCAGCGAACTCCTGACCAAACACACGCATCCTAACCTGTGAGCTGCCTAACAGCAATATTGTGGATTAAAATCAATAATGCGATGGTCTAGCAGAGTGACTGTTCGGTCGATGTTAAGCTTGATTCGTCGAAGTTAAACTAGATGAGGAGCTAGAGCTTCAAGTTCATAAATAGGATGACCGAAAATAACTGACAACACAACCTTGTTATAACGACAGCCTGACTGCCGAAAAACACGAGTGCTTATTATGCGATATGTATAAATACCGATTCATGTTTGTCCGGGACTTTCTTCGCCTAAATAGACATACCCATGACAGGTTTTCAGGGCCATTCCTCAAATGTTTGGTCCTGTCCGGGAGAGTGTGTGAAGGGTGACTACTTTCAAACGGCCCGGTTCCGAAATCTTAGTATAACGATAGATAAACTCTCTCACACACACGGTCGACCCTGTTGAAGAGAGGAAAGCTGGGCCGCCCAGTATCAAGAGTTTTATGTGCCTAGTCCATAGCAAACTGAAAAATGATGTCTTGAACACTCAAGTAGAAGCGACTCAAACATCAGTCAGCCTTTTCAAAGAGAATCATTAAGAAGTCACTGAACCAATGCAAGGATTCGTTTGAGCTAATAAGTTTCGAGTTATCACTGTTACGGACAAAATCAACCACAAAAACTTAAGCACGACTCTATATGCGCGAATGTGTGAGAAAAAAATTAACAAGATCCATTTGATATAACACACTACTCAGAAATCTGCTGAAAACCTCTTGACAACCAAATAAACATTTCGTTCTTCTTGGGACTCATTAGGTAGGCATTGTGCCCGGATTCCTATTAACCTTATGTTCTAGTTGAACAGGAAATTGTAAGCAACTGACGAAATACACTCATTTACAGATTACTTTCCTATTAACGGGAGACTCGAACGGACCTTCCGTCTATGGTATTCTTCAACTGAGTAATTTGCTATGTCAAGAAATTATGACGATATCTCGAATGTGTCAACAACTGAAACATGAAACGCATTCAGTTGGAGTATACCGTAAGCGACAGTCAGTTTCCGTGAACACAAGTGAGTGTCGTTCACCTAGTACCAGGACTTCTGCACATAACACTTCCCATAAGGTCGATGAACTGTTGAAAGCTCGCCATTTTGTCCAATGAACCGAGTTGATTCACGCACACGGCTCATGGTTGGCGCAAACAGCCTTTGAACGGCATACCAACCAGAACTTTATGAGGAGTGAGAGATCGGCCAGCTGCAAGAGTGCTCGCTATTAGACGAGGTGTGCTTCGGTGATGGTTTAGAACCTTCAGACTGAAGAGTTCAGCACGCGCCGAGGATTGATGTCTGCTGCTGCTCAACTTGCAGACGACATCCTTCGTCAAAAATGCTGAGCTCAGACAGACTCTGCTGAAAGAAGGGATACCACTACGTCAGCTTGGGCACCTTTTACAAATGCTCTCCATATGCCTTCTATATGTACGTCAGCAGTTGTTTGGGTCATGGGGCGAGGACGTAATGTAGCGGAAAAAATAAATAATTACAGAAAAACTGACAATCGTAAGTCAGTCGTAGCATCTTTGCTGCACCCCGAAGGATCCCGATTGTCGCCGGTGGAACGCACTAAATGGAATGACTCCGAATCAGAATTAATGGCAACTAGTAAAACCTGGAAATCAAATCCGTTTCAACCAACCACGAGAAAAAACAAGTGTAACCACACAGAGAAACAACACAATGGAGAACTTTTTTTTCCTCTGCCGTTCGGTCTTCAAATCCGTTATTCGTCTGGCGCGGAGCCCTAACTAAATCTACTTTAAGTGGGACCAGATGAACTCTATAAGTTTTGAACTTGAAAAACCACCAGTAAGAAGTATGGTGCAGCACATCTGGAAATGAAAGTGAAATTACCTCAATAATTATGTTGCACGGTTCGGCAATTTAAAGTGCTCATGCATGACGGGGTATTGTGATGCTGAATGATTGGGTAAGACCGAACTCAAACCTCATGCTTGCAGCTGAACCGATAGATGTGGCAGGTAAGTCCCTCTAGAATGTTCAGCTGTACCACCCTTACGGTGTCTAGTTGCCATGCTACACGAAGGAAGCACGAGGGCTGGGATACTGCCAGGTTGCTCGAGCCTAGACAGGGTAAGTAGAGGGGCAGAGGTCGGGTTCGAACCACGGACCTTCCAGTCAGTAAGTTCGCACTCCAACCGATTGAGCCATCTCGTCTAGATGGGTAGCTGCGAGTGGGTAGTCTCGGTGGATTGGCGAGAGACGTAATCACTTGTCGAATGTGGAAAATAAAGTCACCGTTCCCCGACATCCGACATTTTTCTGTCCACCTGGTACCAGCTTACCTGTCAAAGATAACTGAGATGGACCTAGTCGCCCTGGAACTACTGTCTCCTTGAATGCGGACCCCGAAAGGATATGGTCGAACTGCTGATGACCCTGAAATACATGGTTTCATCGTGCAACGGATGACTGGTCCGGTGTCACATCTAAAGCTTTCAACGCGTTTTAGTGGACAAACATAATAACTTGACGTCAACGAATTGATTGGGCCATTCTCTCCAACGAGCGTATGTCATTGCTCTATTCTCTTCATTCTTGAACGAAACTGAGGCTGAATAATCGACTGAACTGAATCACAGCGAAAAACACAAGTCGATATCACTGAAAAATTTCTGGCCCGGGTTCACCCTACAAGGCAGCCACGTTCGTTTCGTTTCCATGGACTGACAGAGTAACATAAGCACCGAAATCATCTGGGCTTCTGACAATGATAAAATTACTATCCAGTGGAGTACACAACAGTTTAGACAGAAGGCTCACCGTATAGAAGTCCAATTCGTCGACGGTTGATGCACTGTTGCGATACCGTGCAGCGTCTCCAAGGATGAGTCGAGCTGTTTCATCGACCCGGTCCTTGTGGCTGGGCCAGTCTGGGAGACCTACCGCGGTGTTATCGCCCTCTGAGAGATCAACATCTTCGATTTGTGGAACTGCAGTGGAAGAAGACTTTGAGGCGTGCTGCTCACCCTTCCCACTAAGGTCAATATCAGAGCCCGACACATGATTCTGTGGAATGTCCTCCACACCCGCGTTGTTGCTCCCACCCCCAATAGAACTATTCTCTGCGCTACTCACGAGGACAGAGCTGGAGAACCGGTTCAGATCGCTTTCGTAGAGGATCTTTTTCCACTTTTGACTGATTTGATTTTCTTGGGCCGCGACAGCCGCTTTGGTTCGTTGGATCAACTCAGCTAAGGTTTCTATCAGGTGTGAGACATTGATGCAAAATGAATGGGCGAGCGCTTGATCACAAAACGGTCGGGTGGCGACCTGGATGGAAGTTAAAAGCGAACGAACAGGCTTTAAAAAAACCCACAAAAACGGATACAAAAGACTGCCTGGGTCCCACGAAAGTAGAGAAGAGTCCCATAAGATTGATTTCGTCTACTGACAAACAGAGTGACCATTTTTGACAGCTTCTACTCTTACAACACACTATTTTCTTACGAGAATATTCTCTGAACTGATTTTTATTAGCCTTTCATGACAGAATGAGGTTCAGATCGGACAAACGGTCGATCCTCTAAGCCCAGGAATAACAACAGTTCCCAAGGGATTGCTTTTACCACTTAGGTTGAACCTGCAATACATGGCTTTTTAAAGTAACATAAAGCACGTCGTTTAATCCGATCGAAATGCGCCTAATTCGGAACAGATGAGTCCATAGAGAGGGAGGAGTAACAATTGGACGAGAAAACCAGCCGGAACACACGACAAGTTGTTCTCGCCGTGATATCTTCGTGTCTGGTATCTTATTTCCATCAAAGTTCTGGAGTGCATTGGATCTAAATATTTTCTATGCTCTATTGTCTGCATTATAGTCACTGATATCAACTAGGTCAATTAGCTTCTATATACCAAAACATTCCGCTCGTGGACACACTACAATACCCAAAAGAGACGGCACCGCTACAACTGACAAGAATCAAATCAAACAATGAAGATGGTATGGTCAACTAAGAGTCCAATAACTTCTGACAATCCAGGTAATAACGCATGCCATACTGGTTGGGAATACGAGGAACCGTTCACCCAGAGAGGAGAAAGGGAGGGGGACAACGTAGTCAGTCTGTTAAAGTCCTATATCAACACACTGAATGAAATCCGTATAAAGTTCATTGGTTTATTTGATGCAAAGGTGATGAGAACTATTCTCATCCTGTGAAGATACCTGTTGCAATCATCTTCTAAGAGCCTTTATGAATCAGTTCTACTAGCTCTGTGAAGCAGCTTCTCATAGATCCGAATCCATTTGGGTGAGGGGAAAAATCCTCCATACTGCGTTCTCCACTCATGTCGATGAACAAGACAGCCTGGTCTTTTTGTACTACTGTAAGGTCGATCTTCTTGCACCATCCCCAGCAGACCATTCAAGCTGATAGCTCTTGGACCGTGCACGTGGCGATGTGGCCAGAGATCATTTGTTGTTTCGATAAACAGTGGAAGATCGACGACACAACATTCATTACCGCAATGTACTGTATGACGCCATAAGTTATCTGGATCACCACCTCACGGCCTGCACAGCAATAAGGGTTGATGTAACAACCTTTTGTTTAAATTACTTTGGCAAAATTAGGAAGGTTGACCATACCTTCTCTAGCCTATCATACGTCTGTAGGGTCTCGAGGCTTATAACGATAAATCGACAGTAGAAGTCGTTACCCGGCAGCCCCAACTTCACATGACAAACCACACCAATAACTGCCAGCTTCAGACCTAATCAGTTTACAATGAATCACTAACGAAATTTTAGCACTGGTAATTTAAGATGTCTTTTCCTGATGTTGGTACATGATAATTGTGTCCAAAAGCGTTTTTTTTTGAAGATAGAAGCTCCTGAAGGACGCCAATAAGATTGCTCCGGTAAACAAAACGCTAGGAGAATTTGTTAGCTTCGAAGAAGGCTTTACATAGGAAGAAGCATTGCAGTAAACACACTCATATGCAAACAAATTTGGTTTTGTGGCAAACTAACCTGAAACCCATCAGAATCTCTCGTTTATCATAGTTTCAGCAACCTTATGAGTGGTGTATGACATCCATACAAGGAACAATGTAAATTGTAAACTAGAGTGAAATAAGCGTCCCATATGAAAGGTGAATAAGTCGTATGGGATGTCGACTACAAAAAACAGCCGCTGTATGTGAGAATGAAGGTTAGCTACTTCAGTTTGCAAAACACACTTGAGTAAAATAAGGAGATGGCAGGAGACAAGCGGCCTCGAACTCACATCTTTTTGTAGAACGAATGACACGAAATCACGGAACACGTCGGACCAGTCACCACCAGTTAATCGCGGTGCATCATTCGAGGCAATCTGATAAAGCGCTGCCATTGGGTTCGTAGCGCTGAAATAAGGCGGTTCTAGCTCCGCTAGGAAGACACGAGAAAAGTGAGGATAGATTGAACCGAAGGGCAGGTCAAGAAATTAGAACTTATCCAACCATAAAATAGCTTATCTTTTTATTGGTGAGTCGACATCAGCGGGAAACTCTCTTAAGTATCTTTCGCTGTAAATTCGCACAAACTCACCAATTTAGCCTATAAGCAGCTGAAAAATGATAGTAACGACCAGACCGCAACCTGACCATCAGAACATATATCAGTCGCACAAACTGACCAATTTAGCCTGTAAACAGCTGAAAAATGATAGTAACGACCAGACCGCAACCTGACCATCAGAACATATATCAGTGCCATTTCGCGACAGCAGTCAATTTATTCTGGAGTAAACTTCGCGCAAATCAAATACAATAGCGTTACAAATGACCAAATAATGGTCATAATCCTAGAGGTCCTTTCGGTGCTTAACTGTCATGCCACCAGAAAGCATGAGGGTTGGGATACTGCCTGGTTGTCCAAACCTAGACAGGGGAAATGTACGGAGGCCAGCCGTCCCTAATAACCGAGCATTACATCATTTGGACAAAAGTGTCACGTGCAAGACAACGGCCAAACGAGGGCATGCCCCGATTGGCCAGAATGCCAGTCAATCCGAGTCAAGCACCTTTGACTCGACGCTTCTCACCCCCTCACGGAGATTCTGACACGACCTTGTGGAACACTCTGTGACTACCCTATAAATGGTTGTAATGATTCTCCTTTTGTCTCCATAAAGAGCTGTGTAGAGCTACTGTGCCTTTTGGTGTACCATAGTGAGCGGAGCAGGAAGAAAAGGGACCGATACAGAGTTGCACTACCGCTCAGCAAGCCACAACAGGAAGTCGAGAGGTAGAGGTCGGGTTCGAACCACGGACCTTCCGGTCGACAAATTCGTGCTGTTACCACTGAGCCATCTCGCCCCAGTATGCGGTGGCTCGGCTTGTTGCAACTCATGGTGGCGAGTAGTATAGGATACGGGGGTACAGAAAAGTAGTAAAATCAAACAAGGAAAACTCTTGGTATGTAATGTAAGTCATTATTGGTAAAGCAAGATTTCGCCAGCAAAACTGCAAGTTTCTCACTGAGACAGTACCGTTACTGCATCTTTTTGCGCAAAAAGGTAACATCGAAAGCACTATACAACTAATATGTGGAATAACGAGCGAGATGAATCTTGTGAAAAGAGTTTGACCTGTACATTATGAGAGAAAGTCAGAGTGCATGACCATTTCAGCAGACAGTCAAGTGATGTGATGGGACGGCAGATCCTCTGCATTCATTGTCAGTGTATACATCAAGTGATTATAACAGAAGACGAAGGCACTCTACTTCGAATGCTGTCACGTACGAACTGACAAGTACTCATTCACAGAACTCACTGCCAACGGACTTCAGGCAACGCCAAAGGTCGTGGGGTCTTCTCTCAACTGAGTTGTTATATGATTCAGTTGGTATCAGATCGCGTGATGTGAAGTGTATGAGTGTAAGTTTATCAAACCATCCATCAGTCACTCCTTTCCAGGTGGAAAGTAGCGAATTCGAATGAATCTGGTTTTGTGGGACACATACTGTTGATGACTTCTAATAAGAGCAAAATGGTCACAGAGTACGTCTCGGTATTTCAGCATGAAAATCCAGAAAATCTCGATTCATGCCGTCAGACTTCACCGCACCAAATCCAGTGGAAGCAACTTGGAAGAAATACGAACACTGTGGAGGGGGTGGGCAGAAAACTCCTGGTAATCTGGCCTCCATCATTATCATTGGTGTTGACACTGACGCTTCGATGATGTGCAATTATTATTACTACAATCTTCAGCTGTAAGCCCCATGAAAGCTGTACAGGGGTTGGCAGCTACGGTTCCCTTCACCGATAATCTGGGAAGATAGGGTGGAGACATACGCGTTGGAGGCAGTAGCTGACATAATTGGCGCGTAAATCAAGAGGAAGTGGGCTTTTAATCGAGCAAAGTATTAATCGAAACCAACCGCTCGGAAGCATGCGCGTCACTGAACGCGCGACTGAATCACATCGGCCGATGTCTCCAGTTCAGTCCAGTTCCGTTACATTTATAGGCTGTAAGCTATATACCGAAAGTGCAATGGGTACTTCCATTGAAGAATGTGTCCAGCACCAGAAGTTGCGTAGGTTGGGGTGTGTTGTGTATGCCGAACCATCGTTTTCCGAAAAGAGTGCTGTTTTCCATGCCCAAACCTGAGGTAGTCAAACCTTGGCCTGGAAGAGGGATATGAAGGAGATTACGAAACGTTTGGGTGTTGTCGATGCTACGCGCCTTCCAGGATGGGGACCGCGTGATCCCCACTGCACCTGGTTAGAGGAACTGCACGATATGGCTGCCAATCGATGTGTGGCTTTCTTGTTGTCAGTTACTATCCAGATTGCCTGAATGAGTGCCTGAAGGTGTAGGTACCAACCACATCCGAGCAGTGCTTCGGAGATACCGATAGTCAAACACTGACATCTTTCGTATGCCTTCTACGCGTAGAGGCAACGTCTCTGATCCATAAAGCAGTATGGATGGGATTGCCAGTGTAAACTTTGCCCCTGACAGACAAGCTCACGTCACGTCGGCGCCATAGTTGTCGGAGATTGGCGAAAGCTGTCCTGGCTTTCCCGACTCGAGTGGTCTAATCTCCAGCCCGTCCGTCGGAACTTATACAATTGTCCAGGTTAAAAAATATATCTGCCACGTCCATTTGCTCGTCTGCAAGCACGATGTTTGGGTTACAACCCAGTCTCGTAGCAGCACCTTACACTTTGCATGTATGAAGCGCATACCAAACCGTGCGGTAGTGTTTTTTTAGGTTATTTGAAATCTGCATTTGGTAAGAACCTGAACCAAGTACAGCATTATCATCCGCATACTCAACGTCTGTCAGCGAACTTCCCATGAGCATTTCGACCGCCGGGATTTCAGAGGCAGGCAGAAAAATATCAAGCAGCGTATCAACAGCAAAGTTTAGGAAGAAAGGTGGGAGAGAAGTCCCAACCCGACCAAAGGTCACAGCATCCCTCTTACACAACTTAGAACTAGCTAACCCACACAGACTGACAGAAGGTTCAAACGAAGTTCAAGAGGGGTCATCAAATGAACCGAACCAGAAGGACTAGACCCTAGGTTGGACCCAAACACATGTAGGTTTCCCCACCGACCCAACACTTGTTCAACCACTCTAACACACTAAAATCCCTCGGCCGATACCTAACAGACATGTAGCTTGACTTAGCTGATTGGTTCTCCTTCAGCCTTAAATCTCCATCAACCTCGGAACCTAGTCATTTGGCCTGACGAAGCTTTTGTGTCAAAAGCGAAATGTTGCCCGGCAATAAATCTGTCGATTGTCACCAAACTTTTTCGAGAAGAGAGCAATCTTGTTTTACAACAGTGGACGTGGTCATGCCACTAGAAAAAAGCACGAGGGCTGGGATACTGCCCGACTGCCCAAACCTAGACAGCAGAAGTCGAGATAGAGGTCCGGTTCGAATCACGAATCTTCCGAGCAGTGAACTCGCACTCTAACCTCTGAGCCATCTCGCTCCCTCTTTTTGTCAAGCAGCTCCCTTTTGGCCTTCCTGGCATGGTTGAACCTTTAGGACCTGAGTTCTAGCCAGTATAACCCACAGGATCATTGCAACACAGAAGCCAAACTACCACAATGTGACAGATTTAGGTCGAGATACGGAGGTATAACGAACAAGGAGTTATAGGCTCCTCTTCCTCGAGATTCCTTCAGATGTTGTTAAAGGGATTGTGCGGAGGCGACAATCAACCGGCATTATCAAGCAGAGGCATTTCCGTTCGGTGGCTCAAAGAATCGTTCAGCTGTAATAATCTTGCGGTGCCACCCGAAGGAAGCACGGGTGTTGGGATACAGCCAGGTTGCTCAAACCTAGATAGCAGTCGAACCACGGACCACCTGGTCAGTAAATCAGCGTCTTAACATCTGCACAGTCTCGAGCACCAGCAGAGTTGCGCGGCTTAAAACGGGAACAGAGCGACGGAGAGCTCAGTTCAGTCACAGCAATTGAGTATTGAAATTTCATTTCTGACAGACAGTAAATATCAATACAGAGGAAGTTCAATGTACGAGCAAGAGCAGCTTGTTGTCTTTCTTGCTTCAGTATACAAACCCTAAAAGCAACTAAACAGACCAGCTTCCGTAGAATAGAAAACTGACTAACGGGCGTTTAGAGCTGAAGACTAAGGGGAAAAGTCGCGGACAAGCACGACCAAAGACGAAAAAGCAGCTAGTCTTAGTGCCGGAACCAACAGGCAGAGTAATCTCAATAGGGTGTGGTCGCGGAGAACTACATGAATGTGCAAGGAAGGCGTCGGCAGTAGCCTGCTTCCACTCACCCGCTCTGTTATGCCTTAAGTATGACAGTAATTAAGACACCCCCATGCGACTGCCAATGCAGCACGGCAGTATTTTTGTGTACGCGGGCTGGGATACCGTCAGGGTGCCCGCACCTAGACAACGGACGATTAAGATCCTCGCAGCTGAAGTCTTTGACTAAAAAAGCTGACTAGAAAACAGGGAGATGGGTGCCGACCCACTACCAACAGTACAATTTCTAAGGAGAAAATCCCTACCAACTCCAACTCCTGGAACTACAGGAGACTGTTGGTCAAACCTGAAACGAGTGTCCAACCAGACGCTGCAAGTGTTGCACGGACCCCCCGATAGTGCCCAACGAAGTACACAGACCGTCACACCACTCTGAGGTTCAGTCTCTTCGTGACAGACAAGAAACCAATCTCACAACGGTTGAAAAATCTTCCAAAGGTCTCCTGCGCACCAGGGTTAACACCGGCTCTGGTTATGACCAACAGCTCTTATTGAGAGAATTATAGAAGCAACAGACGACCACGATGAAACGCACAGATTCTTTATAATCGAAGGATAATGAAGAGCTTAAAAATTGACGGAGAGCGCTGATGGATCGCAAAAGCCAGAGAAATGGAGAG